ATGTGTAGGTTTGAAAGGTCAAATCATTCCCCATTGATGTCTATTGCATCTTTTGATATCATCCTTGACCACCCTATCAACATACACTACCACTGGTGGAAATCCCGGCGGTGTTCACTTTTAAAAACTTTCACAGCGCTTAGGAGCCTATTCACTGATTGGGTTGTCAAATTTTCTAGTTACCAGCTGTATCATCTTTAGTCCGGTTAGTCGTCGAATAACTCGTGCAAGAACCACTTAGATCTCAAATCATCTTCGTTGCGCTTCAGAGCTATTAAGTGACCTTCGACTCGCCGAGAGAAATGAAGTGCATCCAACTTCTAGTACGAAGCTCTTTATGCCCTCCTTTCGTGACGAGTAGATAACCACGCTTACCTAAAGGGGCTCAGTTTTTACATGGAATTACTCTTACGCGGACAACCAGATGGAAGTGCCAAACTCCATGACAGCTTTGGGTGACACTGCTGAGAGATGAACTCACTCTACACTTCACATCTAGGAAGACCCTTCAACCAGATCGAGACAGTAAACTATAGGGGGAGAGAGGGAACAGAACAACGCAAAGAAAGTGAAGGATCCGTCCGTCTCTAAACTACTGGTTGCGGCCCGCCGTCTCCATGAAAGTTATTTTTTTTAATATAGGCATCACTGCTTGACTTGAGATCAACGCTATCCTGTTTGCGTTTAGAGTGGAATGTGAACTTATCCTACGTACGAACGCTTGCTGACTTCAACATGGAACCTATTGCGATGATATAACTTACCAAACATTCACTTTTTCAACTGATAAAAAAATACAATGAAATGAATTGTTACGCTCCAGTGGAGGATGCATTTTGGAGTGAAAAGAATACTTATCGATTTCAATTTATACTTGCTCAGACGGAACTAAGCCTTTCAACAATCATTTTTCAGTTAGCAATGATGGTTTTCAAAAGAAATAGTAGCTGACGTAATATAAAAGTTTTCTCGAATAGAATACAAATTTTTAAACTCTATCTTGATGGAGAATTGAAGAAATCTCAAAGGATGAAGAATGCAAAGATTTGCTTTAGAGAAGTCACTACACCTCTTGGAGTGAAAAATCAATGTCTTTTACACAAGTATATCACGCTCAAAACTTCTCAAGTCCTCTGGACATCGGAAAATTATCGCCTACTGCTGAAAAACCAGCAATGATCATCATGTGCTACGTTTTAAGACTGAGACGAATGACACCTATAGGTGTCACAGTGGTCTTATGCGAGTGGCCGATGAGACATCTATGGGTGTCATTTTCTTTCCGGTAGTCTAATCTGACGCAGAGAAGTTCTTTCTTGAACTTTTTGTTACCAGTTAATAGCTTATCCAACGCGGACGCTATGGATGGCATCGTCCTTAGGAGAGAGTCTTAACAATTTCTCACCAATTTCCCACTGCGCGGCGTGTTGCTGTTGAAAAGAGTGCGCAGTGTAGAGAGTGTGGCCAGTGGAGAGGCGCAGACGCGCTGCTACCTCGAAGAACTGGCATCGCATGCAGTGTTAAGGAATCATTCTTGATAAGCAATTCGTTGGTTTCTAATTTTAAATCCCTATGACGACTTTTGGGTATTGTTTGGAATGACGGGATGCCAAAACTAAAAGGTAAACATCGTAGTACTGCTGGCAGAACTTATACAACTTAAATGCTGACGGCGGTATGATAGCATAGTGAACCACTGTTTTTCTTCATACACAAGAGTTGTATACATACATGGAACGGATATAAGATAAGCGAAGTACAGAAACTCTTCAAAAAAGCAGAAAGAAACCGATTTATAAAGATTAATTCACAACAAAACGGGACAGGACAAAATAAATGTCAGAGTGTTTGATGTGACATTAATAGGTGTTACAGTATCGCACTGCTATTGCACCATGTTTTGTGCGAGCAGGTCGCATATTTCTGGTTGGGTCAGCATTTGTTAGACTGGAGCACGTTTGCTTAATTAGGATTTGCTAGCCGATACCAGCTCAATATCTCTCTTGAACAACGTATCAATAGATTAAAAAGAGTGTAGACAAATGGTTCTGTGTGCCAAGATAAACCATTGGAAAAAAAAATCAATTCGTATTGAACACAACGTCCCCTTACAAAAGACTTATAGAGATGACGTCGTCGTGAATATGTTAATCGCCGCCGAGTTATATAAGTCTGTAGTCGACATGAAAATTATAGGTGTCATCCTACACGACAATCATGTAGGGTTAATTAGAGGATATAGATCCTGAGGTAAAAACAATGAAATCCCTATGGGCCGAGATAGGAAAAGCCTTCTTTATCCTTGTGGTAGAATTGCAATGTATAACGGCGGATTTACCCTCCCAGAAATGTAAGTTAAGCAGAGAAGGAGGTTGATACTTCCATTTAAAATGAATAGCTTACCGTGCTTTACCAAAGCAAAGATTGAAATCATCTCTTGAAGAATCCGAATTAGTTATAGTTTACTTTGATACTTAGTTGCATCTTTTGGCTGAAACGACATTCACAGTAGAACTCGCTTACATACAACTAACTACTTCTACAATTCTGCGAGAACATTATGCAAATCACCTGCATCTCAGACATTGTACGAATGCGCTTTTGATCGTATTCAACCTCCTTCACGTACCTCCACGTCGTTCCAGGTAGGTTTGCTATCAACTGTCAGAGTAGGAGTCCACGAATAATGTAAAGAGGCAACGGGAATTGTTGTTGTTAATGAGGATAAACTTGACCACCCTCCCTACGGTTTACCGCCTCATCGTGGTTGAGAGGTGCTTCTTGGTGTCGAGCTGAGATGTACAGCGGAGAAACTCATCCCTCCAACCGGGCCTTCCAAGTCTAGAAAGAGTCTGGCGTTTCCATGAGGAAGTCCAGCTAACAGGAAACCAACCCCAGGATCCACCACAGTCCTGGTACCAAACTAATCGGATGGTGGCAAATCTCGTTCCGATTTACAAGAGCAGCAAGTGCCTGTGGTGGGGTGCCTGGGGCACACTATGACTAGGCTGACCTCGGGTCTCCAGAGAACCACAGTGGCTAAACCGGTAAAACTCGGAAAGATGGAAATTATGCTGGGGCCTGCACGAGCAGTGAGGACGGGCCATCCAAGTAACCAAGTACAAGTATATAGTATATATATATATATATATATCAGGAAAGAGATAGAGCACATGTTTTCTACATATCTATCAGGTTCTCAGTTGCTCGAGTGCTTTAGTTATCGACGTCTTATCGAAAACTTTGAAAAAACCAGTCTCGTCCAAAATGTGCAGGGCATATATAAATAAGTACGGATTTCGATCAACAATTGATTGTTCATCCATATGATCACTATGATCATCAATGATATCTTATGGAATAAATGTACACAAAAAAATCTTGGCATACAATTCCTACAAATTGCGAAAACTAACAAATGCTGAAGTAAATCAATTGCAACGAATATTTCTTCATCATACTCAAAAGTCGGAAATGTTCCAAAAGCATGGGAATGGATATGAGAACCTAAAAGATACCTAGAAAACATAGAGCACCGAAAGTACTAACAATACACATAGAAGAGACCAGCTATAGAAAAACAGACTAAGAGCGACGAAACCATCTGCGTGGTATTGCGAAATAACCGGTGTGAGTTACATGTGCTCACGAGAGGATCAGAAAATTTAGCGTAGAGTAAATGCGTTGGCCGCAGAGGATATAGACATCGGTACTTAAGTGTTAATATATGAAGTGGTAAAATTCAAGCAAATTTACCACCTTTAGAAAGTGTCTTTACGTTCCACACCGCTTCAAGTGGAGGAAGTGTTACTCCGCATGATGAAATCTTTATTCTGGCCCTGACTCTAGTGTAAATTGTCATACGTGATGTATATATATATATATACATATATATATATATATATATCCACGATACATAAATAACGATGCAAGACATGTAAGTCAACGTTCCTCTAATTTATTTAATAGGATTCTTCTCGTTTACACAACACATGAAGAGCGGTCACACATTTTTGAGCATTTTCTTTGAAAAATAAACTAGTCAGGAATTCGGCTGAACATCGTAGAGTAAATGAGTACTTCAAAAATGATAAGAATTGGAAAGGTAAAAGATTTCCATTGGTTATAAGCCAGATGTGCATTCAATCATTCCTAACGATATTTGATAGAGTCGAAATTAAGAAGAATCGCTCATAGATAGACCTACGCCGATAGCTTTGTCCTTTATGGTATTGTTAAACTCAACAGTAGCTCCTCAGCAGGTAGACTCTACGCACAAAATTTTTAGATCGATGCAATGCCAAAGGTTTGAACGATCTATGCACGTGGACGTTGCTTACTTAACTACTTGGATGGCTATTCTAAAACGCTTTGTATCCGTCATATGTGTAAGTGATGAAATTGAACAGAATACTGTTTGGTTGTAGCTTCTAGTTTTGTCTTGTCTCCTTATTGACATCTCAAATGCACGTCGAGCTCGCCGTTCCGGAGGACTTCTTGATATCACCGCTAAGGTTTTTCCAATAGAACGTATCTACATGATGTGGCAGATAAGACTCGACAACGAATTCATCAAAAGGCGAAGCATAGTCACTTAAAAACCCAACTTTGTTTGCCCTAATTTATGACGCTGATCTGCTTTTAATGCCTTAAACAAGAAAATCCATCCCGGTAAGAACGTCAGACTGTGATCGCGTCTTAGAAACTCACACGAAATCGTCTATGAAAGCTGTAATTAGAAAAATGAAGAATACGGAGCATTACGAAATTTATTAACTTAAGCACCATACAAAAGCATTATACTTAAAGCAAAAAAGAAAAAAAAATCCATAACATTATTGCCGTCTATTAATAGGTGAGTAGTATTTAAACGCGAATACTGGTCACCTAGGTATGTAAGTAAATGTGTTAACAGCTCGCATACATTCCATACAACATTTCAAATTGTCGAAAGGCACATTAATCAACACAAGTTCTACGCTTAAACCCTGGCGTACTTATTACAGAGAGACTTTCCAGTGTTTTACATTCGCATCTTGGCCAACACTGAGGAGTTCGTTCTCATTAAGGAAACTGAGACCATTCACTGGTGACATGGCGTGAGCACCTGGAACAATTCACAGTACAACTTCACACGATACCCTTAAGAGTTACGATGATGGCTTATAAGAGCTAGTACTTTTAACGTTCAAACTGGATAACATCGCAAATGACAAGAATGTATTCCATCAATGTATCAAACATAGCAATGTAACAAAGAGTAAAAGTCGAAATGGATCAGGAATAAGGGTATTTCACTTATTCTTTAAGCACTTCTATACTTCCTGTATGTTCCACTTGGTAGCAATATCCCGTATCAACATAATACTCATAATGTGAGTCATATTTCTCTCACCATAACAAACACACTGCGACACGCACGTGGAATCGATCCCCGCGCCCATGGCCCACCAAGCCTTCCATCCCTTTGGGGTCTGCAAATTGGCACCAGGCTTATCTCACTGGCTCGATACATCGGTAGGCCACAGAGAGTCATTGTAAAGGCCAGATATGCATTCAACCACCTCCAACGATACTTAGTGAAGTCGAATACATGACGCATCTCTCAGGGATTGATCAACGTCTAGTGCATTATCCTTTTTTTAACATATAACATAAACACACACACACACACATACACACAAACCCTCCTCGTTAACCCATAACACCTCATTATCATAGTTCGTAGTTGGCCTAACCGATTAAGAACAACGTTTCGTCGGTGGAAAACTTCCTGGTTTTTGGACAACACAAGAATTTCTCAACAACTAGAGCGATTTAGAGGTGGTAAACACGAAAGAGTTTCAGACGAAACTTTTATCCACCGTTGTACTGGGTAAAAATGGTAGGTATGCTGCTAATTACTGTGTCTTACTAAGGTCCATTGTTCAAACGCATTGCCATCGGCATTTTGAAGTACTCTGAACCACAATTACCAGTCAATGAACTCTTCTTCGAAGAAAAAAATGGCCTTTGTAAATTACTAAGTGCAAACAACGGCTTCTTCTGATCTTGCCATTTTGATCCGCGTTCGATTAGTTATCGAATGAATATGTATAGCGCGATAAAAAAAAGAACACTGGAACCCTCTAAACTCAACATGGATACTGTAGTGTCCACATGGTCGTTTGATCCAGCTCGCTATCGACACAATAACTGTTCATAAGGAGCCTTATGATCTAACGAAATAAAAATTCTCGTACCACATCATGGAGAAGAAAGAAAAGTCGTAAAATTCTAACCTTTAATGATAATCGGATGCTCTCCACTTCGTTTAATATCCCAAATAATGATGTTCGTATCCAGGCCACCAGTCGCAATATGACAATTATCTGTGCTCCATGCAACACAATTCACTTTAGCCGTATGGAAAGTCCATTCCTTCTCCGCAATAACTTTGAAGTCGCCAGCGATCGAATAAGGAACCACCTAACTGGAAGATTACAGGAAAGCAGAAAGTGTATAACGACAACATGCCCACCTTGCGACCACTATCGGTAGCTACGAGAAACTCTCCATTTGGAGAAAAAGTAACACTTGTGATTGGCGAGGAATGGGATAACAACTTCTTTTCGACAAGGGTAGTCCCATTCAACGAATAAACGTGCACCTTGGAGTCCTAAAATAAATGTGACTTAATTCGACAGCACAGGTATTTGAAAGCCACGAAGCAGATAGTAAGAGAAAACAGTTAACATTATTACCAACGTAAGAAATACTTGTTCTAATACGACATTAGTGAAACACGTATTTTTAATACATTAACAGACACCAATACAATACCAAGATCCAATACTGTCCTGATAACAGGCTAGTTGCATGGTGGCAAATCTCACTCTTATCCACAAATGCGGCGACTGCCTGTGGTGGTGACGGCTTCGGGCAGACTTTGGTCCGGATGACCTCAGTATGCTGGGACACGCATAACCAGTGAAGATGGGTCATCCAAGTACCCAAGTAATAGACATCTTCATGACAAAAAACCTTTATGGTGAAGACTGTAGTGCGCATTACTGGAAACCTAAGCAAAAGCTTTCACTCCCAAAACTGACTTTCTGTTAATCCCTGCGTTGATCAATAATTCGCTTTTTCTTGATAAGCACACATGAAGTTGTAACAATAATGCTTAAGCACTAAAGCTGATCTTTCGGCGAACTACGCCTAGTACAAACCCTGGAAAAGTCAATTTTAATGCAGTCTAGTTAGCCAAGCACCTCTATAACCCCAACAGACAAACCACGAAACCTAGACTTCAACAGCATTGGAAATAAAACAGATTTTTCACAAACTCACCGCTTTCCATGACTTTCCCACCGAGTATTCTGTCGAGACCAATCACACTGAGTTGAGATTAATGAGTAACAGCTCTCCCTTGCATTAAAATATCACTCTGAAGTATTGTCTAAAATCACGCGTGATAACGAAGCGTTTCTCCCTGCGGTCCATTTACGGATTCTTGGAATTTATCCAGAATGCCTCGAGATTTTTGCACGCTGAAGTTTTCGTTTCCTGTGCGAAGATGGTAACTCCTACTTTAAAGGCTTCTCCATTATGTTTGTGCCCCATGCACAAAAGACCAAGACAACGGAAATTTTCAAGCAGAAATCAATAACCTCGCTCAGGAACCTAAAACATTTGCGCGAAAAACATGAAGCATTCAGCGCAAAGAGGAGTGTCATGTGGTCACGTATAACCTCGCTCCATACCATAGGACTTTTCCGCCTGAGTCAGAAACATTCCTAACCCATGCAATGCGGTTGATCTCAAGCAATAACTGAACGACATATAAAGAACAAAATGGTGAAAGTTTAAAATAATACGCGAACGAAATTTATGCATCACAGCTTTCTGCTTGGGTGATGAAGGTGTTTGACTAAGTATATCGTATGTCAATTTGACCTTTCAAGAAAACCAAATCGCCGAAACATCAGCTTTTGTAAATAAAGAGTATGATAGCAAACTCGTGTGTGCTTATCAAGAAAACAACGCCTAATTAAATATTCCGAAGGCATTAAGAATTACAGTGTACATATGTGAATGTCGCAATAGAAAACAATCTGACGTAGCATACAGCCATATATCTACCAACGACCATCAAATCAAAGACGCATTCACGAAAATAAAAGAACCAAGCAATGGTTTAAAAAAGTTGTGCAGAAATTATCACCTGGCCTCCAACAGCAACTACACTGTCCGAAAGCGCAACACAAGATGGGTTAAACGATACAGTGAGTTCCGTAGAAAGCTTTTGATCCTTAAACGTGCACGTCTTAGAATTCAGAGTTTATTATACTGACACAACAAAAGAATTACAGCATGAAAACTTAGTAACTAATAGAGAAGAATAAAATTAAAAACAGACAAGCTTTCACATAATCTTACCTGAAATACAAATATATTTTTGCAACAAGCTACGACGGTAATGTCGCCGCTGATGGAGGAAGTGACGCCAACTGGTTGTGACAGTAGCTTCACACTCGTGGAGGGTAAAGAATCTGAGAAATGCAAGATTTCATAGGAAAGCCTAACGCTTATCAATGAAAAACAGCTTACCAGTGCCCTCGGTAATTCCGCGCGTAAAGCAGACAGTGTCGTCCCACGCACAAGTGACCAAGACTCCATTCTTTGGCAAAGTGATACCCACAACCTAAAGCAAAAATGACGAAGAGAGACAATGAAGATTACCTGAGATCTAAGCAACCAGCTGCGTACCTGTGATTTATGAAGTGTAGGAGAAATTCGTTTGGACTGACCACTTTTAACATTCCAGCGGGCTAAGCAAAAAGGGTATAAAGCAACTGTATAAATAACAGTGGAAAAAATATACCTAAAAAAAGCATTGGAGCACTAACTGATATTTCCTTCGAAGTCTGAAGTGATCAACCATTCCTTACAGTCGCTCACAGCCAATGCTGTAATTCCCTTATTGTGGCCATGTACAACCTATTCAACGAAAAGATTAGTACAAAAATTCTATTTTTCTCCTATCAAAGAAAGCATCAAACCTTGGAGACACTTCCTGAGGCGTCGATGAAATTGAGAAATCCTGAAAGGGACACGGACACAAGTGCTTTAGAACTCCATGAGACACCGACCTGTTGATCTTCAACAGAATCCCCGAAAGTCACAGTTCTAAAAACCTTCCAAAAATTTCCTGTCTTTCCATCAAAACAGAGTGACCAGAATGATATGCGAATGGTGCATTTTGAAAAACCCACTTATCTAGAGTTCTCTCAGCAGCATTCCAAAGCTTAATAGTTCTATCACCGGATGCAGTAGCGATTCGTTGACCGCATGGTGACCACGCCAAAGCAAAAACACTACCAGCGTGAGCTACGTCGCCCTCAAAATTTTACTACTGTCTTGTAAAATAATGCTGAACTAAAATATAACCTCTTACTAACCTTAATACCCTGATCCACCAATTCGCCAATCTTGGCTCCGTCTATACCTTCAAATATGACAACCTGAAAAATTAACTGCAAGTTAACTTCAACGATGCTGAGATATTTGCAAAACTCCGGACCGCATACAGCATCATTGAAGTTATATTCCAACAGCCAACAGCAATCACCAATCAACGGGATTGAACTGGACAGCCCAAATCAGTACTGGGGGGGCAGTAAATAAAATGTTAACATTATGATTTAGGCTACAGCCTCGGCTTAACTGGGTTCGTTGAAGATTTGAGCGTCCTAGATCAATTCCTTTGACGGGTGATTGTTGATGGTCTGATCGATAGAATTAGCTGAGAGACGGACGAAACGAAGGACCCGCATGGAGTGGTGGTGAACGCGTCAGCCTTCGGAAAGGGTAACAGCGCGTTCGTTCGCCACCACAGACAGCTGCGGTCCGGAGTTTTGCAAATATCTCAGCATCGTTTAACGTTTTGTTTTCTGCCTTCTGTGATTTTTCTGTGATTTCAACTACAGCCATAGCTTAACTGGGTTCTATGCCGATTTGCGCTCCCCAGATCAACCCCGCTGACGGGTGATTGCTGTGGCAAAAAGATCGATAGAAATAGCTGAGAGACGTGCGAAACAAAGGACCCGCATGGTGTGGTGGTGAACGCGTTACTCCCCGGAAAGGATAATAGCGCGTTCGTTCCCCACCATAGACACCTGCGGTCCAGAGTTTTGCAAATATCTCAGCAACGTTGTGGTTGTATCTCAGCATCGTTGAAGTTATATTTCACAATGAATAAATACCCTGCCGTTAAAAAGAGGAGTAGGCAGTAAATAATAAGTTGTAACTGCAAGTTAGTTTAACGCATTACTCTCCATATTTTTTAAAATACGACAGTATCACCTTCCCATCAGCTCCAGCACTAGCAAAGAGTGATCCATCAGGGCTGTACCTTGTAGAGTTAACAAAACGTGAGTGTTCATGGAAAGTCTAAATAAACATAAACATTAAGATAAAGAACTAAACAAGAAAAACCCTCCCGTCACCTTTCATAATCCTATCTACCTCGTGAACTCTTACTTCCACTATGATCCTATGGCTTGATTGTATCATGCAATATAGCTGGATTAATAATTACGCTGTATCCCTTCATTCATCACTTTATCAAGTTCCTTCTTTCTGAGTTTTACATTTCAATGCATGATAGCTAACAGTGAATAGATCTTACTACTAACTAGCACCAATACCAAGACGTACCACCGTCCTGGTACCAAACTAATCGCATGGCGGCAAATCTCTCTCTGATCCACGAGGACGGCGACTGTCTGTAGTAGCGACAACCTGGGACAGACTATGGCCTGGCTGACCTCCTGAGCGTGCTTGTGCCAGGGAATCAGAGTGGTTAAACCAGCAAAACACCGAAAAAAAGGAGACTATGCTGGAGCTCGCACAACCAATGAGAATGGGCCACCCAAGTATCCAAGTATCCTAAGTACTAATTAACACCGTCGTTGAATAGATCTTCACGCCGTGCGATAACCACCTCAGAAGAGTACAGGACCAAGATAAGCCATATACAAAACTGAAACAAGAACGGAAATCGTTTCATAAAGTATACCTATATATCTATCCATGGAAATCCATACGGTCGAATGAAAAAGTGTATATACGATCCATTCAACGGACCGATACATATGTTAGTCTTGACCATATTCATACACACCGAAGATGGTGCCTACTCGACAGCTCGGTACTGCTTATATCTTTCCAGTGAGTTCTATTCCTTCTATTCTGTTACTTCCATTACTGTGTAGCTGAAACAGCAATGTGGAAAAGAAAATACCATCGTTTTGAGACCAAAGACTAGCAAGGAGTGGTTCAGTTTCGATCGAGGATCACATCCATGTAATTTCCCCTTGCTTCGGAACCGAACAGTTAACTAACGAGGCATGCCGGCACAAGCACGCTCAGGAAGTCGTCTCTTGGTTGAACATTCCTAGGTAATTTACACATTTCGACAAAGGAGAAACCCTACTCGAAGACTAGTCCCTCTTTGGACTCAAAACTGAGTCGCATCGGATATGCTCAACGATTCACGTAGGGTTTAATACCTTATCGAACACTTACTCACTGACTTGACAAAGTCAAGAAATTTAAACAATTGCTAGCAAACGTCGGAAAGCGCCGCAGTGCTTGTGCTGACATCAGCCTACAAATTCATGTTGGAGGAACAAAGATGGTCTTAGATTTGTAATAAAGGATGTAGGCAAAAGAAGGGAATCACACTCCAACACTATTCAAAAGCATCAGTTGCTAGGTCACTCCATGGTCAGCTAGACAACGTGGAGTCAGATCTATACAGCAAGGGAATGATCCTGGTATGGTGGCCTGTGCTTGTCCTTTAACATTGGAAGCTTCCAGTGTCAACCAGAGACATGTGACCGTATGGATAGGCTGACGGTCATTATCGACTCAACAAAAAAGTTACTTGAAAACGGAGTAGCTAAAAGGCATCTGACCAGTTATATAATTTGGAAAATTGTGGCCTCTATAGTGATGTGAACGAATCCCTGTGGGATCAGGGCAGTGAGGTGGTTCACACTAACGACGGATCACGGATTCACTCAGGTCCTAAATTAACAATGACTTTAAAAGTTTTATTTCGCAATACCCGAAACCCTCGGACAGCCCCTTGGGCAGTGCATCGCGAAATCAAGACCCTTGGACAGCCCCACCAGGCAGTCCACTGAAAGGAGCCATGGAGTGCAGTTGCAGAGACACAAAGCACACCATTATAGTGGACGTTCGTAAGGCGAATGAAATTAATGGAATTTGTCCCGTACGCACCACATGCAATGATAGGTTATTCCCTACAGTATCCCAGCAAGTACATATTAATTCGGAACCAACAGACATAAAAAGACAAGGGTTGGAGATCAATGTCTCGCCAAAAATGTGCAAATACGGTAGGAATGTGAGTGAAAAAGTTAAGCAATTCAAACATACTGTCTTAAACTTGAAAGGAGGGCCCTCAAACATAGCCACACTGTTGTCTTCCGAACCACTAACGAGACGGTAAGGTCTCTAAAAAAAAGAGAACTAAAACTTAAGAGGGTAAATTGCCCATATTCACACAAGAATATAAACTGGGTAGAAAGATTCAGTGGTATAAAACCATCATAGAGTATACCACATACTTTGTGAAGCTTTTACAGTTGGCTACCTTTACTCAAAACAGACTTGCGCAGAGATAGAGATACTCTACAACTATCCAACATGAAAGTATCGACCCTGTCGACCTTTATCACAAACCGACAGCCTACCGATGAACGAAAATCGATGCTGCTCACAGGACGGGATTGACCAGAAAGGTTGCCATTTGATGTTCCAGTATCGAACAAGAATACATGACCGAACCTATGATCGCTTTGCTTCAAACAGAACGGAACCTCACAAAGCCAAAAAGTCTACGATTTGATTTGGCTCACCGTTCACGGCCTTCGCCAACCACAGCCAATCGCTTACTGTCATCACTCCACGCGATATCTCGAACGCTTCCCGAAAAAACCTAAAACAATCGGTGTTTTCGATGCTAACTGTCAAGGGATATGGACCATCCATTAACTGCGAACCTGATAGGTTGCTTTGAGGATATGAGTAACATTGGTCGTGTCCCAAATGCGAACATTTCCAGCCGTATCCCCAGAAGCAACGTAGAAACTGAAACCACCTGCTCGAAAAGTGAAGAAAACAATTTTAAAAAACTACTTAACTAAGATCTGAGAAGCAAATAATAACAATAAAACAGAAAACACACCTACTCGGGCTCATCTTTGCAACAGTAGTGGGCACCGAATGCTCAGTGTAAATATCGACGTCAGTGATGTTCTGAAAAGAAACTAAAAAGTAAGAAAGCAACAGTAGGACAAGGACATAGGAACGGAGCTTTTTGTACATGGTATCCACGAAATCGTACCTCGACATCCACGATAAAGACGGAGTTTCCATTACAGTAGATCATTTTATCCCCTTTTGGACTGGAAGCAATAACCGTGGGAAATCCCCGAGTAGTACGTGGCAGGGCGGCGAACAGACGAACCTTTGTATACTCAGCAGAGTCTCCTGCATTCATTCTGAAACAAAATGTTATAGGAGTTGCAATACAAACCGAAAACACAGAGCAATCACTGAAGGAGCCGCTTCAAAGATACCAAATGATCCATTCAATACTATAATCAAACAAAGTGCCAATATCGTACAGTTCACAACACTTCTTTCCTTAGAGAACTCATCTTTCTCATAAAGACATACTATGGAGCAATACAGACAGAGGCTCACCCCATCTGAAGTACTCGCCCGCCGTTGAAAATAGTGCTGAAATCTCTGAAGGGACCTGTATTCTAAGCTGTGATTCGTCGATGATATTACTATGTGTTGAAATGTCCAAAATTTTCGAAACAGATACATTTTCTAGGACTGTGAACTTCACTCTTCGTTCCGTTTTCTTAGCTTATCCACATAACCGACTCTGTTAGCAACCGTAAAAACTCTCCTCAAGAGGTCTCAAGCATAGAAGACATCAAAATGCATTAAGATCGCCTCTAATTGCGTTATTCCCATGAGTAGAAAGTCAATAATAACTGCTTTCTTCAGTTGAAGTACAGTTAAGCAGTACTTGGGCGTGTGGAGAATCAAACTACAATGTCCTGGCAGTAGTGAACGACCAATATGAAAGCACTTTCGTCTGTAGGTAAAACAAAATAGCATAAATAATAGAAAATTTCGCTTTGTATTCAAGCAGAAGGAACTCTTGGCAATAACGAAAAACAATGGCATGCATAGATAAACTACCTCAGCATCCTTACCACTAAACGAATCCCTACATATTATGTCCTTAGGTAAGGGAAATTATAACGCACGGAATAGTCCATGGACGATTACATGAAAGAACGGATGATGTGAAATGGCCGTGCCAAAGAATGACGAATACCAATACATGACGCTCGTTGGGTCAAATCATTGTGGCGTCACACCCTATGTTTACAAAAAGCATTTCAGAAGCTTCATACTACAAACTTCGTTACAAGGAAATTGATTCTACAACCGTTCTTTCACAGTGACCACAATATCGCTTTATTTTCAAACACAACGCGCGAACCACAAGGGTGTGTGTGGCGCGGTGGATCGAGGCGCCGTGCCGTGGCGGGATAAATCGATTGCTGGTTTGATTCCACGCCCACGACTCTAAGAAAACACTGGCTTGGTGCATCGTAACGCCATCACAATTCATTGTACAGGCCAGATGTTCATTCAGTTACCTCTACGATGCCTGATGAAGTCGAATGCATGGTCTATTCAAAAGAGATTACTCAACGCCAAACGCCTTATTCTCTAGCGCATAACGTCCTACGCTGATTTTTTTGTGGATACCGTGTGAAAGGACGCCTAATCTCCGTTGTAGGCTTAGTGGAACTCATCTGCCATTCAAACACATCACTAGCTGAGTGACTCTGGTTTCGCGATGACTGTAGAACTATAGGTGTTTAGAACATGACGGATGGCGTACAGAATCGATAAATTTCCATGAATTATTTATGGACGAGATTTGTGAACTGAGACGAGAGATTTCGTAGAAGCTTAGACTGTTAATCGAACTTATCAAGGAGAATTTTACAATAACGTAGAATCCTGAAACGTACATATATATTCAAGAATCCTTCGTGCTGTTCTTTATAGTGTACACGGGTAACGAACTCTCCATAACTGGAGCAGTGATGCAGTGTGCATTAACACTCACGCGACGAATGACATCTATAGATGTTATAATAGTTTTGCATGAGTGGCCGGTAAGACACCTATAGATGTTTTCTTTAAGGTAGTTTATTTTGGTGAATAGAAGATTTCTCCAAGATTTCTTTCAATCAATCGATGACTTAATAACTTTTCACGAATTCCTCATCTCGCGGCGATAGAATGTTGCTGTTGAGGAGAATGTGGCCGGTGAAGAGGCGCAGAAGGGCTTCTGACTCGAGGAACTCGCATTGTACAGTATCCAGAATCACTCTTGGCAAGAAATTCGTTGGTTCCTAGTATTCAATCCCTATGACAACTTCTGGGTGTTACTGAAATAAGAAGGCATCAAATCATCGTAGTATAGCTTGCAAAACTTATACAGCTTCATAAAATGGCGACAGTAATATAATTGCATAGTGGGGGCGAGGGTGTTTTTCTTCATACATAAAAGTTGTAGGTGCACCAAAAACAAGGTAGGGTGTAAAGAAGAACGTGGATAAACATAAGGTAGGAGAAACGCAGATATTTCCTCAAAACGCAGAGAAAAATTGACATGTAGAACGGAAATCGCAACAAAAAAGGGCAGGCTGCATAAAAACTGCCGGAATGGTCGGTGTGACAATTACTGATGTTACAATGAGCGAAAAACTAGGCGCCGTCTACTCCGAAAAAGCGTGAAATAAGGCGTCGTCGCCAGGGTGTTAAACGAAGCTTTGTTATGGAGAAGAGACTTTATTTGATATTTTGTTCAAGTGGAAAACTCTGCGCATGATCAACAATGCGCTAGCACGATATCCTCCGAAATATAAACTGCACGCACAACGTCCAGCTGAAATGAGCAGATCCTGGGGAATGTAAGTCGCCAGCGAAACACAGATGAACAAATCAAACAATAAGGACTGATGAAAACCACATGGACGAGAACTGTTGAATAGACTCAACAAAGATGAAAGTTTCCCCTCTGTCGAGCAACTATACGAAAAGTTGACTTGTTCGTGGGTCATGCAAAAACCATCCGCATTTGCAGCTGGAAACAATTCCTGTGTCCCAGAAAGAAGGTAAGATGTATTGGAGCCACCACTGTTCATAGAAATTGATCGTCCGGATATTGAGGTATCTAAGTAAGAGAATAGCTTTCCGTGGATTGTGTCTGATTCAAAACCTGCGATTGATAAAGTATCGATCGAGTACAAAAATATGAGGAAAATCCCTGCACAGAAAATGAGCTACTGAAAACAAAACGCATTGGGAGCAATGCATCTCGTCCACTTCACCCAACACGCACATCGAACTCAGTTTCTCGGGTGATATGTAGAAGTTCTTACTGCTATGTCAGTAATTGCAAATGAAATCAGAAGCTTAGTAATAATCAGTTAAACGCCGTTTTCCTGAAACAAATCTTGCTGTAGTTTACCTCGATAATTTGAAAATGGATACAGCGGCTACTTCTAGGAATCTCGAGAAATTCCGAAGAAACTTTCAAGTATGCTGTGTCACATGTTGCGCACCAACTGTATTGACGGAGACTAGTCACCAAACAGAAGACACACTAGCACTAAGTCACTCAGTTCTCATGTGCTACGCTTTGTTTTAAGGTAAAGGATAAGGAAAAAACACTCGGTGTTGATCAATCCTAGAGGGATTCGCCATGCATTCGACTTCACTAAGCATCATTTGGAGGAGATTGAATGCATATTATCGAGCCAGTGCTGCTATCCTCTCAGACAAGTCTGGTACCAATTTCTCGACCAAGGAATGGTAGGCTTGGTGGGCCATGGGTGCGGGGATCGATTCCACATGTGTGTTGCAGGGTGCATCCGACCACTGTGCCTTGTTTTAAGGTAGCCAATAAAATATGAGGAGTTCTAGGATACAACAAATTTCGTAGTAGAAGAGTTCTCTTCACGTCGATATCGTGTAATTTGCTTGTAGTTATTCATTTGATATGCCTACACATAAGCCGTACGCATAGGTAACGTATTTACTGCATCAACGACATAGAACCATATCTTCGAAGACAGTTGCATTTGTACAGTGGAAGGTTTACAAGTGTTTTTTTCTTTCATAAATACTAAGGTACCTACCTGCGAGAGTTAACAATAATGGAATTGTGTTAAATGTTTAAAGCAGTGTCACAATATGCACTTGGTTGCAAGTTTCAAATTTAAAATTTAGCCTCAAAGGTTAGAATTGTTGTGAAAAAGTTCACTTCGCTTTCCAAAGGAATTCGATCCCTAAGTCATGGTAGTTATACTGGAACAAGTAGGGCGCCTATTTCCAACAATTAAGAACCGATGCCTAGATTTCGTGGCTGACCAGTCTATTTGGCCCTAAATGCTTTCACGCACTCGCTGTAACTTAATATCAGCTCACACCAGTTTGATACCTTAATGGTAATGATCATTCATCAACAAGCAAAGACACTGAGCATAGCTACGCACAGTACCATGAACATTGTACGTTTTATGGCCTTTTATGGAACTTTGATAGATGATATCTGATCAATCTATGTCTCAGTTTCACAGCATAATGCTGTGACGAGCGCTCACTCAAATCAGTGGGCATAAAGTTTAGAGTCGTCAGCTGGTCGGTGGCTTGTCAATGAGGCCTTAATGCTGTCCGTGCTGCTTCCTTTCCTTTACATAACCCTGCCTTCATCTCACTTCCCATTTTTACTGAGCACCCTAGGTAAGCAATGTGTTACGCGATTTCCGTACTCAAATATAATTCACCTTGACTTATTTCCTATAGCGGGATTTCCTAACGGAATTTTCTTCCTATTTATTCGCAGTCTTATCATTTCTACCGCTCCGTTGAGTTCTTCAAGGATCCTTCTTCAGTGGTAGCCAAAATAGTTTGGTAGGAATTCTAAAGCATTACATATATGCTGTTCTCGCTCTCAAAGATGCTGGGTCAACTTCAGCATAACATCAACATAACTTAAGAAAACAGCATCATTCACTGCTGTGCGACGGTACAGAGCTTCACAGAGATGCTACAGCTTTCGCAGACACCTTTCGCTATCAACATGCTAAGTGGCCGATGGCATAACTTGCATTCGCGGTCCGTGAAATAGTTGAAGCAGTCGAATAGGGTTCCTATTTCGTCAACTGGACGTTGAGCCTATATCTGATACGCGTAAGCAAGCATAACGTCGTTTGATAATGGTGAAGTACAATCACAAACCGACGAAAAAATTAAGTCTACACTTTGTTCCAACCTTCTAGACCTACGGCTGTGATAGAAAAGAGATGAATTCTGAAATTAAGAAAAATCAACATTGTGCGAGAAATCACTGACTGGCTCTCGCATTCCTGACATCGAATATCAACGGTGAGAGGAGAACGGCGCAGTGGTTAATGATCTAGGTCATCATAGATAAAAGTGATGGTTTGACCCAACCCTATGCTCTCTCCTAGTCGAAGCGAGA